ACGATAACCAAAATTCTTTAAAATTTAGATATAAGAATGTGGGCTCTGGGGTCAAATGGCCTGAGTGAGTTCAGCTCTACCCCCTAATAATGATATGACCTTAGGTAAGGTATTGAACCTCTCCAAGCCTCCATTTCATTTCCTATAAAATGGAGAAGATACTAATACCTATCTGTATGAATGTTGGGGCACAGCAAGTCTCAATGTCAGTTTATTTTAATAAATTGGAATAGACGTTAGTGGTCATTTAATGTAATTCTTTTCCATCACTGCTGTATGTGTATCATATACTGCAAGGAGACTGAATTGCACATAGTTCTAGTAGCACTGGAAGATATTTTACACTCCTGAGAGATACACTTTCCTTCATGGACTACCTAACAAACTCCTACTCACCTTTCAAGACTCAGTCCACATATCTTGCATTCATTCGGTCACTTCGTCATCATCCAACCTTTTTTATAAACACTCACTCTAAATGGCATCCTCCTTCTGGAGACACATCTACCAGCAAAGTAAACATAAATAACATTAACACTGCTCGAAAGAGTGCCTGTTGAATATGCATCTCAGACCATCTTCCTCTTCAGAAAACTCATCCCACCTGCTACACGTTCAGAAATAACTCCAGCTGTTTGCTCATAAGATAGTATTTCTTCCCCAAATGTATTTCTTCGGTATATTTTTGTGCTCCACCAGCTTTGTTCGGTTTTTAGAAAGCTTTTAAGCTCGTTATTAACAGTGAGCCGGATACTTAGCTGAGACATCGTTTTTCTGAACCATATTGTGAGCAACGGACAAGTAGGAAGTGATTAAAGGGAAAAAAGCTTTAACAACTACTCACAAAATTCCCTTTCCTCGTGAAACATACATACATAACAAAAAGTTAACAATAATTACCAGACTTAACACGTGCTGAATAGAATCTTGTTTTAAATAAAATGGATGTAATATGGAGGCACATGCATCACACAGATATCCCACTGCATATGTTAACTGCAATATAATGTTTAGAACTCTAAGAACTCTGACAATACCTTACATCATTTAAGAATTCGTGAAAATGAACATCTGTGCAAACCTGAAGCTTAATTAAATGCTTTAAAAAAAAGTGCTCACCTAATTGATAAACATGAATGGAAAAGGGAAATTGGCAGTAAGTTCATGTGTCCTCACATATCTCTAACATTCTTCAAATATCATAAAAATATTTTGAATAATTTCAGTATAAAAAATACAGAACACAAGCACTGTTCTAGGTGTTTGAACATAAGTATATATGCACATTTATGTTCAGGTACGCATGAACAAGAACGTGTAAAACTACCCTTGGGTCAGTGCCTAAGTATAATAAACTTACGACTGCAAAATTATTTTACGGCTCTAATTATGAAATAAAAAGGACTGTAACCAAAATTAGAACTACAAGGCCGCTCAAAGACTTGTCCTCTAAAAGCATAATAATAAACACAAACTCTTTATCAGCCCTACTCTCAAAGGAATCAGTAGGAAGGAAATCACTGAGCTTGAATTTTAAGCTAGATTAATCTTGGGGGCGGGGGGAGAAGGGTTTAGGAAAATATAGTCAAGAGATTACAGATGTGGCCGAAGGCTACAATTTGAAGTCAGGAAGTCTGTTTCCAAAGTTGCACAAAAAGGTATGACTCAAGCTGAACAGAATCAAGAGCTCCAGGAAAGCCCTTCTCCACCCCCACCCACCCCTCTCACCCTCTGAGCAGCTGGGAGGTCCTGCCTGCCCTGCCGCGGAGGAGCAGCCCCGTACATAGGTCACAAGCGTTCGTGGCCTGGGTCCCTTCGTCTGTCCTTGAACACTCCCCACAGTGAGTGTTAGGGCTGACACGTGTCCTCGTCCCTTAAGCAAGCCCAAGGTTAATGGCCTGGGCACTCAACCTTTTCACAGGCGACAACCTCAGGGGCGTGCTTTAACCTTTCTCCAGGAGGGGACCTATGGCCACGGTTGGCTTATTTTACAGGATTTCCCAGTATGGGCGTGGTGTCACAGAAAAGGTCCGGTTTGATAAATTATTTAATTTTGGGGGTGGTCGGGGCAGCCCTTGCTCTAAAACTAATCACTTTAGTTCACGTTAACCCTGCCGGCTCTCGCTTTCCGCCCTAAAAGTCCAGAGCGAGGGTGACAGGCGAGCGGGGGGAGGGGGGGAGGG